AACAGCTTATATCTTGCGACAATACCTTTAACACCACCAAACAACAACATCTCCCTATCCCAGGTCCTTGGGAAGGACTCAGTAGGTGGATAAAAATGACAAATCCAGTCTAAACATCTGGCTGACTATGTGACCAACAACAATAGTAATCTATTAAATTCAAAACTATTAGTAATAAAAATATTAATCAAAAACTATCGCTGCTATTAGGTAGGTCTAGATGCCCTCCTGAAGATGATTGATTTCGCCGTTCAGCAAAATGCTATTAAGTAGGAACTCGTATGATCTCAGAGGAGGAATCTGTTTCACAGAGAAGGAGCTACTGCTGAAAATGTCATTCTCTAGGTCTCAGCCTCTTTCACCCAGAGCATCCTCTCCCTGCTTGCCCATGTAGTGCTGGCAGAGAAGATGGTCCTGCAAGTGACCGGAAATAACCTGAAGAAGATGGTCCTGAAAGTAACCGGGGCCCAAGCCATACTTAGTGCAATTTTTGACTGACAGTAACAGACATCCTTCACTGTTACTGCCACACTTTATATTCAGGCCCTTGTGTTTATTTGTAATATTTTATCCTGCTTTTCTACTAAAAATAGTTAAGAGCATAAATTGACACTTTTTTTCCTTTTTGCTGTATCCCTTTTGATATTCTTCTCTTAGGGTCTGGCTCCAGCCCTCACATCTACTTCCTAGTACTTGCCTGAATGACGGCTCTCCTTGTTCTTTGGTTTTTGCTTGGTTCTGCTTTCACCAAGAACTTCTCCTGGTGTTTCCTGACAGTGTTGCTCCTTTCCCCAACCAACACCTCATTTGATGCTTCTCATCCACAAACTGACTGCAGATTTATTCTTTAATTTCTTTCCTGACTTTCATATCATTGAGCAGTTTCAATCAGACCAGTGAACACAGAAGGACATTAAAAAAAAGTAAGCAGGAGGTGCAATATTGTGCACTAAAGGAACACATTAAAAATACACAGACTAAATCATATGTACTACAATTGGAGCAATATAGAGAAGATGTGCATCCTATTCCTGCCCCCTAAAAGGTGTATTTGTCTGAACTGAAGGGGCTTGGAATGCCAAATAGCTTTGCCACGTCTGTAGTGTTTGGGAGCTTCTGTAAGAGAACTTTGCATTTTAATAGAATGCAAAATGGAATTCAATATATTTGTGATGGGAATGCATTTGACAACAGATTGCAAATGGGTAGCTTAATATGGTAGAATAATTCCTCATTATCCTAAGGGAACTATCTGCATGCTGCTTACCTTACTCCTTCTGTTATGAGGAACAACAGTAATACCATCCTGAGCACATATATGAATACTTATGGAAAGACCTACTGAATACCTTTCCCTTTTCTGTCAACTGTGTTTGAAATAGAACATTAACACTATCCTTTTGCATATATTTTTCCAGCAACCATGACAACAGTTCATTTGGATTTGCACATTATTTTGAGAATCATCACATAGGTGAACCACTAGACACAACTGGAAGTTATTAGAGGGACTATAGATATACAAGATCCTCTTACTTTAATATAAAATACCTTCACAAATGATAATGACAACATACAGTATCTGGTAATCTCTGTTTAGAGATATGGTGCAAAGAAATGGCTTTGAGAGTGCATGTTAACAAGTATATTAAAATCAACTAGTTATAACAAGCCAAGCATTTCACAAAATTAGGGTCATGCTTAAAATATGCAGCATTATATTCAGGTTAAATAACTTAATATGGGTTAATAAGGAGGAAAGTGTGTATAAGCACCCATCTAATGATCATATCTAAGCTTTAATCTTTTTTACCCTTGTTTTGAAATGCTGCCATTTGACAGTTTCAAGTAATGCATGAATTTTAAAGATTATTTTTGAGAATTTTCTTTTTAATCTGTGGAGAATGATGAGTTTCCAGAAAATCAACTACTGTTTGGGGGCCAAAGATCCAGTTGACTGGGGTAATCAAGATGGTTTTGAAGTACTGATCATCTGAAGTATGACGACACTGGAAAATACTGCTACTTCAGCTCAGTCATGGCAATCTCCAGTGGGTCTAACAATGAGATAGCATACAGTTTAAATAACTTAAATGAAATATGTATGCCTTTTCCAGCAGCTAGGCAGGAACCAATCAAGATTGAAAGAAGATTTCATGTGACAAGAAAAGTCAGGTGTTGGGAGTTTTTTGGTCATCTGAAAGGTCCTTGCTCATCAACATAGTTTAAGCCATTTCTCAAATGTTAAAGTATATATTCAGTAAAGAAACATATATACAGTTTTGGGTGAACCACTGTCTCTGAATATCTTTGTTTTGTTGTTACAGGGTTCACTCACATTAAGCTTGGAATCACCTGGAATTTCTCAAGTATGGGTACAAATTTGCTACTTTAAATATTTCAGTAACAAATTTAGACTAGATTCTCTTTTTTCCCCCCAAAGGTGCAAAAACCTCACCTTTCCAGAGAATCTTCCTGAGGTCAGCATTGTTTTCATATTTGTGAATGAAGCTCTTTCAGTGATTCTGCGGTCCATTCATTCTGCCATCGACAGGACTCCTGCTCATTTGTTGAAAGAGATTATTTTAGTGGATGACAATAGTAATAATGGTGAGTAGTATGTACCAAAGAGTTGGTATGTTTTTGTGTGTGTTCTGATGCATTCTTAATGAAATCATTCTGTATTCAAGATGACTTTGATGCTGTAGTTGGCAAGATGCTGTAAAGGACAAATCTAGTCAAGATCCCTGATTCCCCAATATTTGTTTCTCCTTTTATATCGGCACTCAGTGCATCCTTTCATAAAAAGAACCCTTCATCAGGCTATTAGGCCCATCTGGTCCAGCACTCTGTCTTACAGTGGCCAACTGGGTGCCTTTGGAAAGCTCACCAGCCTGAGCAGGAGGCTGATAGCCTCCTTCTGATTCCATTTCCCAGCAAGCAGTATTTAAGTCAAGATGCATATGATTGAGGAATTAATAGACAACTATCCATTGATTTAGCCATTGATTTCCTGATATTCCATGAACCTGTCTAGTCTTTTTTTAAAACCATCCCAGTTGCTTGCCCTTACCACAACTTTTACCACTGTTTAATTATGTGCCATATAAAAAAGTATTTCCCTCTTTCTTTTTGTCAAGCTCAGCTCCAGACCTTACATGGCAATAGTCAGATCCTAGGTTTGAACTCAGCAAAAGTTTCATAGACACAGCTCAGACAGAAAAAAAAATTATTGCCCAACAAAAATAAAAACAAATGAAACAGTTACAATCAGATTGTAAGCTCCTTTGAGGTCCAGTTTGGATAAGATTTCAAAAATGAGGGGAAGAATGTAGGTGGACTATTGGAAAAAGCAGTTAGGGAGACAAAATAAAATTGGAGGAATGCTTGGTGAGGTTTTGAGGTTCCAGGTGCTCTGTCTGAGCAAACAAAACTCAACCATCAACAGTCTGAACCCTAACAAAAGATTGTACAGGCAGTGTATGGAAAATATAGTTGTGAGTATTAGTTGATTCAGGGCTGTTGCCTGTGATTGCAGAAGCTACTGTGGTCTGCAGTTGTATTCCTGTGACTGTCTGGATTTGTAGAATGGCTGTAATAGCTACATGTAATGGCTAAATGTTGGTGTGTAACTCACCATGACTATGCTGCACTTACATTTTGGCTCTTCTAGTCTAGAAGCATGACAAATGCCTGATCTGGAGTGTTTAACACATCTGTTGGTAAAATGCCTGTCCTTCCTACAACTATGCTTCAGAAGCGGGGAGGTTAACAAAGTACATAGTCCCAGGCAAAGTGTCAGGGTTCTTTGGTGTGACAACTTTTCTTAGGCAGTGAATCTCTCTGGGGCCCACCAAATGCAGAGTTTTATCCTCTGAAGTTTCAAATACCAAATTGGATGGAAAGAGAAAGGTATGAAAGCAACTAGTCTCTCTTCATGCCTGAACTCTCCTGAAATTCCTTGAGTTTTCTATGCAGTCATGATGTCTGGGTAACTTGATAAATGAGCTTGTCTTATGTTTTATCTGATAGCCCATCTTTGATCTGATTTGATTAAAGCCTCTTTCATGCTAGCCCATATCCTATGGTAGAGTCACCTGTTGGGGGAGATGGGTGGCATACAAATTTAATAAATAAACAAACAAATAAATAAATAGTAGTTGAAACTCAGCAGCATAATTCTGTATTGAACACAAATTATATAATGATAGGCTAATTATAAATTATATGAAGGCTCACTCTGGTGAATCATCTACTGTAGTCTCAGGAATATAGTAGACATTGAGCAAGAAAAGAATTAAATTTATTTGGATTCCATCATATTTTTCTAGCCGAAAAGTGTTTGGCTCAGTTTGGGTTCCCCTAGTTCTGATGGTTAGTTCTGTTCCATTTGTTAGGCAAGTTGACTCATTGTCTGGGCTAGCTGGTCCATCTGGGTAGCATTTGGTTCTGTTATTGGAGAACAGTATTGGCCATTTGATCAACAGTCAACAGTAGCCATTGTGACAGTTTTTGATCTTGAGACAATGCCTTTCCTCTCATAGGAATGGAAGCGAATTTGGGCAATGAGGTGGCTGGGCCTGAGTGACCAAGACTGAGCAGAAAACTGCAAACCTCCAGGCTTTACATGGCAAAACTCAGATCCTAGGCTAGAAGTCAGAAGATGTCTCAAAGACACAGCTCTTCTAGATAGGTATCTTTATTGTCAGCAAGGAGGAAGTCAAATGAGCAGTTGCCCACTGCTGTGTGAATATGCAGGTCCCTCTGATTCCCATGGTGATTCAAACTCATAGCTTTCTTCTTACCATATGTGCCATTCAATAATTGACTCTTTTAATGGTGCTTGGTTATCTTGAAGCTGAGTAGTTGTTAAGCGTTTACATAATTTCCAACTCTGGCCTAAAAACTGCTGACTTTTGGCTTACTCCTTAAATGGTCTGTCCTGAATCTCCCTCTGTTTAGATTATATGTATACTTCCCCTAACATTATTTGTGTGAGAGGAAAAACCTCTGTTTATCCAAGTTATTTATGCCATGCAAGATTTATTAAATCTTTAATAAATAATTGCTTTAAATTCCTTAAAGACTTATATATCTCTATCATGGCTCCCCTGACCTCCTTCGTTCCAGGCTAAAGAACCTTCATTGCTATAGCCCATTCTTATAATGGAAGTCCTATAAGTCCTATAAGCTCTAGTCCCTAATCCTCTTGGTTGCTGTTTTTTGCATCTTTTCCAGCCCTATAATGTACAGTGACAGTACAGTGACAAGAACTATACATCATGTTCCAAGTGTGGTTTCACCATGTATTTTTATAACAGCATTATTACATCAGCAATTCTGTTTTCATTTCCCTTCCTAATAATTTCAAGCAGGGAAGTTGCCTTGTTTTACAGCAGCTGCATACTGAATTGACATCTTCATTGAGCTGTCTACCGTGACTCCTGGTCCATCTCTGATACTTCGGATCCCATTAATACATAGATGAACTTTGAATTTTCTATATCAACATGCATCATTTCACATTTCTTTACACTGAGCTACATTTGCCATTTAGAAATACATTCTCCCGGTCTGGAGAGATTCTTTTTGAACACCTCACAATCTCTTTTTTATTTTACCATCTTGAACAGTTTGGTATCATCAGCAAACATAGCCACTTCCCTGCTTAACACTAACTCCTGAGTATACAAAAGTTAGAAAGCATTGGTCCCAGCACCAGTTTCTAGGGAACCCTACTTTGTACTTCTCAATTGTGTGAGAACTATCCATTTACTCATTTATCCTTACAGTACTCTCATTTCCTTACCAAGTAAGTCACTTAAGCCAGAATCTCCCTGTACATTCTCAAATATTTATTTTGCTTTTGCCTGTGGCACTCCAGGAAGAAGGCGCCTAATTATTTAAATATGCCTGAAAATATTATGCTTTCTGTGAGGAAAATGCTCTATAGGGTAGGCTAAAAATAAAATAAAAACCCCACAATTGTTAGATGAAATTCCCCAAACAGTAAGATCATTTTCAGAGGCTTTCATAGGGAAAAAGAATAGTGACCAAAAGTAGATTCTCCAGTTAGGAAACTCCAGTTCTTGGAAGCTCTTTATAGGAAGGCATTGAGGCTAATGTCTCTTCAGTTCCAACTGTTAGACTTCTTTTATGATGGTTTACTCTTCCACTGTGAATTTGTTGTCCTTAATTTGTTTTTATATTTGATTACTTAAACATACTTCAAAGTTGATCCAAGAGTCATCTGAATTGAAGAAGTGGGATATAAGCATCTATGTAAATATTAAGTAGCTTATGCTATCTCTAGAGCAAGACTGATTTTGTTTAAAATGTGACATCTGTGTTTAAAGCAGTCCCTTAAACATTATGTTATACTTTATGGATGAAAGAGATGTCATACAAAACATATTGAGTACTCGTTTTCTCTTTTAAGTCCACAGTAGGATTTTCTAATATTAAATCAGCTGGAACGCATAATATTTCTGCCCTGGGTAGCTGCTGCAGAGTTTACTTTTTGAATTTTTTTTAATTGATTATGTGTCATCAACCCCAGTGACCACCTAGATAGATTTTCTCCATGATGATCAGTCCCTAACCTGGTCTTTCAGATCTTCCAACAGTGCACTCACTGCAACTGTAACTGAGTCCATCCACTTTGCTGCTGGTTACCCTCTCCTTCTCTTCCCTCCCTCCTTCCCTCCCTCCCTCTCTCTCATTTTATCCTTATGACTTTCACATAAGTCTTACTCTTGCTTTTACAAAAGTTTGCTCCAGAATCATGATATGTTTCTAATTTCAGGAGAAAGACCAACTTGAATTTAAAAGAAATAAGCACCTCTATATTCTTTTACATGTAGTCCTCATTTAAGGACCACTCATTCAGTGACCACTCGAACTTACAATGGTGTTGAACTAGTGGTACTTATGACTGGTCCTCAAAGTTCTGGCCGTCACAGCATCCCCATGAACATGTGATTATGATCCAGGTGTTTGGTGATTGGCTTGCAGTTATGACATTGCAGTGTCCCACAGTCACACATCACTATTTGCGACATTCACTACCAGCTTCCAACAAGCAGAGTCAATGGGGAGGTTGGCAGGAGGTTGCAAATGGGCAACCATGTGACATCACACTTAATGGCACTGCAGGATTTGCTTAACAATGGCAACCAGAAGTGCTATCCCTAAGCAGTACGGTCATGTGACATTGCGCTTTATGACCACGTTGCTTAGCGATAGAAATTCTGGTCCCAACTGCCGTCGTTAACTGAAGACTACCTGCCCTCCATTCTTTCTATATTAGGAAAACCTTGAAATCCAAATGCTGAGTAATGTATGCACTGTGTATGAACTTGCTCTAAATCTAAACCCCCAGAGAAATGTTGATTATTCCACTCAACCTCTGCAAATGTTTCCTTAAGACACCCACAAGAGATATCTCAAAGGAGACAGCATCCAAAATTAATGTCCTTGTTTTCATTCCTTTATTCTGTATCACAGGACATTGCAGAGAACTGGGTGACTGAAAAATTATGTGGAGTTTAGCAGAACCTTTTCCAAGTAATGTGTTTTATTAAAAGGCTGCTGCAGCTCATGAAAGCTTA